CTCTCTCTCTCTCCCCACCCCATTCTCCGCGGACGCCTCTATCCGCCTCGTCCTCGCACCGCTTCTATGTTTCGTCAGACGCCCGCACACATATGCATGTTTATATACACGCGCCTGGTAAGCCAATAACAAAAGCCATTTTATTTACTCACGCATTCACGCCCACCCACAGCCACATAGAGGGAAAGAGAGAGAGAGAGAGAGTGTGTGTGTGTGTGTGTGTGTGAGTGAACGAGATGCACACACCATGGCGAAGAGGTGCGTGACTCCCTCTCACCGCCGTGCCTTTTGAAACCAGCGGTCCTCGTCCTCCGAGCCGGCGGGGGGAACGGGAAGAGGGGCGCGGCTCATGCGCCGACCGCGGCCGCGCACACGCACCGCCGCAGCGGCCTCGTCCTTCGCGTCCTCCTCGTTCTCCTCTTCAGCAGCAGGAGAAGAACGAGGAGGTGGAGGCGGTGCCGGTGATGGTGCGCGCTTCATGTTGGTGGTCCTCTTCAGCGGCCGCCGCACAACCTCCTCCTCCACCTCCTCCTCGTCATCATCCTCGTCATCCCTTTCCACCGGCGGTGGCGGTGGCGGTGGCGGGGCTCGCCTCGCTGCATGCCCCTTCTTGCTCGCTGCTGCTAGCGGTGGCGGTGGCGGCTTCTGTAACACCACCTCCGCCTCCCCGTCCTCCTCGTAATCATCATCATCGTCGTCTGGTGGTGGTGGCGGTGGTGCTCGCTTGGCGTTCTGGGAGGCCTTCTTCGCCAACGGGGCGTGCTGCTGCTGCTGCTGGCTCTGCACGACCTCGTCGTCGTCGTCGTCGTCGTCGTCCTCCTTCACCCGCGCCTCCTCCGAGGCCTTGGCACGCCCACGTGCAACGCGGCTCTTTGCAGGGGGAGGGCTTTTCTTACCACCACTGCTGGTGCTTACCGGAGCCGCACGCACCTCTTCCTCTTTCTCCTCATCCTCTTCCTCTTCATCATCTTCATCGTCCCCTTCTTCTTCCTCTTCCTCTTCCTCTTCCTCGTCTCCCTCCTCTACGGCAGCAGCCTTCGCAGCGGAAGACTTCTGCTTCTTGCCCTTTGACTTGTCTTTCTCCACTTCCTCCACTTCTTCCTCATCCTCCTCCTCTTCTTCCTCCTCTTCCTCCTCATCTGCTGCGGCCTTTGCTGCGGGGCTTCCCGCCTTCGCGGACGCCCCCTTCGCAGCAGCCGCAGCCGCGTCCCGTCGCGCTGGCGGCTTCGCCTCCTCTTCGTCCTCCGCCTCCTCGTCGTCCTCCACCTCCGGCAACAGCTGCACGAGCGTCGGCGTGAGGAGCGCCTCCAGGTCGTCACGGTTCGTCAAGATGTCGTGCACCACCGACACACCGAGCGCCTCAATGGTGTCGACGAGGTCGGACACACAGGTGCAGTCGGCGATGGCGCTCGTCATGCCGAGCGGCTCCGCGAGCTGCTGCAGCCGCACTTTCTCCGCCGCGGTGAAGGTGCCGGTGGTGTCAATGCTAACAATGGTGGTGGTCGTAGCATCCATGCCGCCCGCACCGCCGCCACTGATGGAGGTGGCGAGGATGTGGTAGTGCACCACGTTGACGCGCGACAGAACCTTACGATCCAGCACATGCAGCACGCCCAGCATCGCCTCGGCGAAGCGGCCGCGTATGTCCTCCTCCCGCACCGTCTCCTTCAGCGATGTCTCATAGAGGTGCAGCGTCGTGCCCATCAGTGCCGCCACGCTACAGCCGGAGTTGGAGTCAATCGCGGGGCGGATCGGCGTGTGACGCTTGACCTTGCTCGCGAAGAAGGCGGTGTAAGCTTTGACCGCGTCGGCGACCCTGTCGGCCGTCATGTCCGTCGCGCCCTTGCCACGCCGCGTGCGGTACGGGCGGCGATCGGAGGAGAGCAGCGGGAAGCCGTACGCGGGGATATCGCGTGGCTCCAGCGCAATCGGGTGCTCACGTGAGATGGCGCGCAGCAGAACTGCGCCGTGCACAAGCGCCTCTACACCCTTCTCCTTATAGAAGCGCGCCATCGCATCGTCATCGGCGGCGTCGTGCGCGGCGGTGTAGGTGTTGTACGCAGACCACACCTGCTTCAGCGCCACGATCGCGGGCGAGTCACCGTTCGCCGGCTTGGCTGCACTGAAGGCGCTGTAGAGCGCGAATGGGTCCACCTGCGCCGCGTCCCCGTCCATCGTGGTCACGAAGCCCTTCTTCTCATCGTCCTTGATGTCGGAAATATGCAGGTAGCCGTCGGCGCTGTTGAACTGGATCAGCATCAGTTCCGCCAGGCGGGCCAACGACTTATTTTGCTTCGCGTCAGTCGGCGCCGCCGCGACATCAGCTGCAGTCGTCATCGGTTCGTCACTCTCTTCTGGCGGCTCCGGATCAGCCTTCTTCGCGGCAGCGGCATCACCACTCTTCCTCTTCTTTGGCTTGGCGGACTTGCCTTCATCGCCGTCCGTCTTTGCTTCCGTTGCGGTCGTTCCTGCGTCCTTGGCGGCGCCACTGCTGCCACGAATGTACGGCGCCGGGGCGAACTCCTGCTCCGTTTCCTTCAGCAGCCGTGCAATTTCAGCGTCCTCGTCGTCATCGACGGCGGAAGCAGTGCGAGATGATGCTTCGTTCTTGCCAGCATCCTCCGCTTCCGCTGAACTTGCTGCGGCGGCCTCCGCCGCTTCTTCTGCGGGAGGCGACGTTGCCTCAGAGTGTTTTGTGTGTCTTTTCCCTCGCCCCCTTGGCGCTCGGCTTGTCTTGGCGACGCTGCCGCTGGTGCTCTCCACCTCTTCCTCCGCTTCTGCTGCGGCGCCACTTTCATTGACGAGCCTCTTCTCCAGCTGTTGCTGCTGCTCCTCCTCCTCCACCTTTACGGCGTTTGCGGCGCTGGCAGCTGCCGCCGTGGTCTCCGGAAGCGCCCGCATGCCGGTGATGAGCGGCGCGAGGATCTGCCGGTTGCTCTTGTTCGCCGCGAACTCCTCAATGACGGCCTTCTGGATGGTCCTTGTCAACCACGTGATGACTTGGTCCTTCTGCGACTCCACCGGCTGCCGTGCCATAGCGGCGTACGCCTCCTCGAGAATGCCACGCGAGTAGGCAGAGATGGCCACACGCTCGCGGTTCTCGTCCCAGCGACCCACCGTCGTGATGCCGGCGAGTCGAAGCGCCCGCGCGTCCTTGCACGCCTGGTAGCGCTCGGAGCTGAGCACGACGTCCAGCCACTCCTTTCGGCCGCGCAGCGCCGCCATCTGTCGCCGCGGCACCATGACAACAAAGTCCAGCATGGCCACGTCCTCTACATCCGTCGCCTCGGGGTCGAGCAGCAGCTGAACCATGCCGCGCAGCGTCTCGGTGCGGATGCCGGTGTCGCCGGTCGCCACGTCGGGTAGCAGGACCTGCTCGATTGGGCACTGATGCGGCGACGCAGGCAGCGCGCGGGCGGCAGCACTGCCGCTGCACAGGGGAAGCGTCGTGCGGTACCCACGGCGACTCACAGACAGTGCTGTGCTGGAACGAAAGCCACCGCCAACGCCGCAGCTGCAGCAGCAACACGCGCTGGTGAGTGCAGCGGCCGCTGGAAGAAATGGGACGACGGGATCATTACTGCCGCACATTGCGTGGCGCTCGATGGTAGCAGCGATGGCGGTGTGTGTGACTGACACACTGGTGATGAGGCGACGGCGTAGCATGGCCGCTTCGGTTGCGAATTAAACTCTATGCGTTATGGCGTCGGCACACTTGCAAATCACACAGGTAGGCAACCGGTAGGGAAACAGACGCAACACAACCCGAGTGTCTGTGAGTTTAGGAATGCCGAGACAAGGAGCAAGTCGGTCTATGCGTGTGTGTATGTGTGTGTATGCGTGTACGTCACCGCGGAACTGCTGGAACCTCCTCCTGTTATCTGTACCTTACTGTCTTTCTCTATAAACGTACTTTTGTATGCGCACGTATACGTATATGTCTCTGTGTGTCTGTGTGTGTTCGTGCGGCTTGGGATCTCCACACTCGTCGGTAACGCAAACGTAAAACTAGCGAGGCCGGAAGCAAAAAAAAA